ATCTCTGTTCCTGGCTTCAGCTGAGATAGTCGATTGTATCCACGAGTTACTTATTTATGAGTAGGTACAAAAACGAACTGAAAAATTTCACTCTGTATATAAAGACTCATTTGTCCTATTTAAATTCAAAAATAATGAATTTAAATTAGCAAACATTTGTGGTACCATGTTCTTGGCTATTTCTATAGTATACTATCTGGACAGGCTGAGAAATTTCCAGATCAAGTCCTGCTTCCTTTTTTGCTTAGCAGTGCCCTCTTCAATTTATCTCTTTCCTCTCACATTTTACTATAAGCAGCAAGGAGATACCAGACGTCACCTTCCATACTTTGCTTGGAAATCTCCTCAGCTAAATATCCAAGTTCATCACCACTTACAAGTTCTACTTTCTTCCCAACAGCACAACATAATTCAGCCAAGTTCTCCGATACTTTATAATAGGGATCACCTTTCCCCAGCGTCCAATGGCATGTCACCAGAAGCACCTTTAATGCTCCTAATTCTAGGAACATTCTGTGTGTGATGATCATGTCTTCTCTAAGACAACAGACGCTTTCTCTGCAGCTCTCCTCTCCTCTTTCTGAGCCCTCACCAGAACTGCCTTCAATGTCTGCATTTCTATCAACAATCTCTTAAAGGTAATCTACGCTTTTTCTATCAAGCGCTTCAAAGCACTTCTAACCTCTGCCCATTACACAATTCCAAAGCCACTTCCACATTTTTACATAGTGTTACAGCTGTACCCCACTTCCTAGTATCAAAGTTGATATCAGCAGCTCACTGATCCTTGTGATTTTCTGGTTAATAGAGAAACATGCCATTGAAATGAGTTCCTGGTCCCAGGTCCTGGCATCCAAACAGCCAGATCAGTGCTGTGACTACTGAACTGAATTACGGGAAAACCTGCCTCACCGCTGTTGTGGTCAGTGTGTATTAACCAACACTGCCAGTAAAGAGGGCAGGCCAGGGTTCAGATGGGAAGTGTTGGTGCAGAATGCTGATTTAAGTAATCTGGGTAGAAGTACTTTTAATACTGAGTTATGATGAGCTGGAGCATAGGGTCACTTCCTTTCTGCAACCCTTTAAAAAGTACATGTGATACAAATCCACTAATTTAGACTATGTAGAGTAGAACCAACATGAATTAGTAAAACATCTGAATGGGGAAGTATGTGTGTGGAAAGCATGTATTTTGAGTCAAACCTAACCAAACTGACAGGGGTTCCCCATGAAGGGAACTATGGAGTAGAGGACTGTAAAAAATTGATTAAAGGGCAGATAAGGATGACATGATTTTTCTTACAAGTTAGTGTTTATAAAGTGCTTTCAGACAATGTAATTCCTTAAAGAAATAGTTCTTGCATTCTTCATTATACTGTAAATTTACTTTTTCAATCTCTCCGTATTTTTACAGCCTTGAAATTGACTTTATAACCTTTTACATTGACTTTGTATGGATGATCAACAATCCGGATTAGCTAGGTCTGACATTATGAGCTTTTTAATCTTATCAGCAATTCATTGGACTTTGTGATTTCCTGGGTGGCTCAGACTAGACCAGGTTTGCAAATAAAAAGGCAAGGGAAAGACAGTAGCATTTATTATATCAGGTGCTTCCTTGAGTCCTCTCCTATTGCTCTCACTCCTCACAACAATAAAGTAGATGATTTTTATCTTCTTTTACTCAGTGGGACTCAGGAGAGTTAAGGAATTTGAGTAAAGTCAGCCAACTATGATTAAATACAACAGAAAAAAAATATCTGATGGCCAACATCACAGTAATAGCTGAGATGTTTATGAAATACCCACCTGCTCTGGGCAGTGCACGAGCTCTGTGGCAGCCAGAGCCCCCAGGCTCCAGGACTCCCCATGTGAACAACACTAGAAAAGACCAGCGGCCTGGACCAGAAACCCACTACTCTCAATGTGCCCACCTTCCTCGGAAGGCTAGATGTTCGCACTCTAACAGAATTCAAAGCAAATCAGAGCATTTCTTTGGTAACATTTTTACTGATTTTCCAATGACCTTTGAAGCAGAAGCTTAAAAATTAACTAAAAATTACTACTTGCTTAACCTATTAAAAAGTATGCCGCTAAGATAACCTGGGTTCGTAAATTCACAGTTTGTCTTTTTTTTTTCACAGTTAGGACTCTGCCATTAATTTTTAAAAGAGAAAAATATCCCAGAAGTAGAAAAAGAACCCTAAGGAAGGAGTGTTCGAATTTTTTATGCTGAGTTTCTTGCCCCCTTCAATCTCAGAGAGACCACATAATCAAGGAATATTGTACTCTTTATGTTTTCAAAGTTCTTCCTGAGCAGTCATTCATTTTCCGTGGGCCATAAAGAAAGCTGTTCAATTCAGAGAGGCTGCATAGGCAGAATACTGACAGATAAAATAAAGACCCACCACGCACTGTCTTTTTACCATAAATGAAGATACTAGCAGGGGCAAACTTAGTACCCATCCTAACCAGAGTAGTCGAAATCCCACACTGGAGAAGATTTGTTGTAGCTGTTTCTCCAGCGATCGCGTCTTATGTGAGCCCTTTCACTGTGGCGGTGATGGATTCCCTAATCTAGTCAAGCCAACCAATCCACCCATTTTAGGTTAAACATTCTGCTTTTACAAACTGGCTGCCGATGTTAGAGGGGGAATCAGGAGTTATTTTCAACATAAAAACCTAAAGCCATGGTCTCTCTTGGTCCTCAGAAATGGTAAGTGATTATTTTGCCCATGCCAACACCTGATTCAAAAAGAGGATTTGAGATTTCCTGCCTACAAACCCTGTTAGAAACTGTGTGTTTCTATTTTGAATTTTATTAGTAGTATCCCAGGAATTAATATTCTCTAAAAAATACTTTCAAAAACTACAATGGATCTGGCAGCAATAAAGTATACAATTATTTAATATCTCACTTTCCAGAGGATTATTTTGGATTAATAGAAATCTTTCCTGGCTATTCCCCTTAGCTGCCACCAGCACTAATCAGTGTAAATAACAATCTCAATTGCTAAACTTACTTAAAACCTAATGGTTCCAGGCTCTAAGAACCTGACTGTGGCTTAAGCATTTCATGCTCTAATAGAAACCAACTTGCAGAGGCCCACGCTGCCACTATTTTTAAAGATGTTACTTCCCTGATCCATTGATGTGGAATCTAGATGCGGATTTTCACACAGAGGCTGGAATCTAACTCGGGTTATGCACCTGCTACAATGGCAGACATTATGCCAGGAAACTTCCCCGTGACTACACCCATGTGATGGACGTTGAAATCCAGCTCTGCCGGTGAGAAAGATGGAGGCCCCAAGATGCAGAGAAACTTGTCCAGGGTCACACAACTTGAAAGAGTGAAATGGAAGTTTGAATTTACTTAAGTATAAAACCCATGTTCTTTTCACCAGGAAACCCTTTTTTCATTATTCCAAAACTGCTTTAAGAGTAACCTACATGTCCTTGAGAATCAAAAGGCAGCTCATAGTTCTCACTCCAGAGAACAACTGTAAATAATTTGAATACACACAAAACATCTTATTTGAATTTTTCTGATCAGTTTGAAAACTCTAGTCCACTAACTATACTTTCAATAAGCACATCTGGGATACTTTTGATGGGTCAGATACAGTTCTAGACTCTGGGGTGAAAATGCTGAATCCCTGCTCTCAAGGAGCTCCCAGCCTAACAGGGAGATGTGAGTGTCAACACATCAATACCTTTCAAAGCCATCGGTGCTACAAATTGTATAGCTTATGATTACAGACTGCATGGTGTATGACAGGCATTGTTTTAACATGTGTTAACATCTGTAATCCTCACAACACATTATCATCCCCATTTACAGAGGAGGTACAAAGAGGTTGGGTAACTTGCCAAAGATCACGTAATTGTAAGTAACAGAGAAGGATTTGGACCTAACTGACCCCAGAGTCCATGGCCTTAGCTGCCACCCCATAATATCTCGCCAGGGCTGGAATGAGCTGAGGCCTAAGAGAAGGAGGGATGACTGGAGAGGGTCAGGAAGGCTTCAGGAAGTGGCCAAAGACTGAGTGAGATCTCATCTGGAGCTGCTGAGTGCCTTTCGAAAGGGCACCCTTGTCCCTCCTTGGGTCAGCCAACCCTGAGTCCTATCATTCTGAACAAAAGTTATCTCTCTTCAGTATTAGCAACATAAAGGGGAAAAATACTTGGAGTGGGGGCTGAAATATCGTCTCAGAAAACTACTTGTAAATGTTGTGTTTGAATTTTATCCATGATGTGATCTTGTTTAGATGTCATGTAATTCTTCTTCTGGAAATAGGTATTAAAAAAACAAAAATCACCTGGGTGGATGACAGTTCAAAATAATTTAGGCTTCTAAATTATTGGCTAAGCCAATGTTCACTTGGAATTTGATACTTAGAAAAAGCAAGGAGTCTATCTGCTTTATAAATCTTTATTCCCCAAAGGCTTTTTTATTCACCATATTTAAATACTCATTAAAAGGAATTTCCAATTCATTAATAGCTACATGTTAATAGGGTCCTGGGGGGAAGAGCACAAAGTAGATGTTTGTTTGGCAAATATGTCTACTGGAGACTCTCTTCCCTGTCTCAAGTCTACCGATTTTACCTTCCCATCTTCTGCCCAAGATTTCTGCCTTACGAGAAATTCCCTGATTGTTTCTCATTCTGAAAAACTAAAGGAGAATTTGACTGACTTACCTGAACAATACTTGAGGCGTTTTTCCGTCAGTGACCCCACCGTTCCAGCTGAACTTAATCCCTTACTGTTTCCAACTAATCATCATTAGTTTTCTCTTTGGGAAAGAAGCCCAAAAGTGAAGACTCAGGTTCCTGTGTTTTGACCTGTGACATATTTTCACTGTTACACTCATTTTTTTCTTTCATTTGTAAAACTGAAGGACAAAAGGAACATGGGGAAGAGAATGTGTGTTTTATGAAAAGAAATCAACTGCATTGATGATCAGTCATTTTACTTGCTCTTTTCTTTTGTGGCAGTTTCACCCGCCATGAATTGTTGCCAAACTTTGTCAAGCCATTGGGTTTTTCCCACTGTAATTCTCTGCTTATTTGGATTTTTCTCAATGATGAAACCATCAGAGCCATTTGTCGTACCTTACTTGACAGGACCAGATAAAAATATAAGCCTCAGTGTGGTAAGTTAAGTAATATGCTTATCTTTCAATCAAGTGTAGCAAGAACTATGTTTCAAGCCTTGGGTAAGAGCAAAATACTAGCACTTCTTACAATCACTAATGAAAACAAATGGGCTTTAATGATTTTTATGTATTTTTCATGTAAAAATATAAACTCTTTAGCTACAACAAAAACAGGGTAGGTGCGAAACAACCTTACTTAATCTTTCAGTTGGACAAAAACAATACTCCAGGACTTCATTGCATATTATCATTAATAATGATAATTCCTCCCCACTTAAGAATATAAGCCTTAGAAGATAATATAAGATTTTGAGAGGGGTAGGGATGAAGTTACTGAAAAGCATGTAAAAAATCCTCTGAAGATTTTCCCTTCTTTATTTATAAATATTAAGGCTATTTGTAACTTTTACTCTGGTCATAAGAGCTAGTCCTAAGAAACCTCTAAGTCAGTGCTTCTCCAAGTGTGGTCCCTGGGCCAGCACACCAGCATCATCTGGGAATTTGTTAGAAACGTAAATTCTCAGAGCCTACCCCAGACCTACCGAATCTGAATGTCTGTTTTTTAAAAAACCCTCCAGGTGGATCTGATATATACTAAAGTTTGAGAATAACTGCTTTAAGCCATTGAGCAATAATAAGATCAGACAAGGAACTCTATCAGTTTGGTTTCTTTAGAAAAAAAAGTTCACTAACATCACTTTTACAGGCTGGTTACTCAGCCAAGGAGTGTAATGATTTTATCTTATTTTGCCTCTCTTTCCTAGCCACCATCCACATTCCTCCACTCCACATCAAGGAAAGTGCTCACTGAACCAGTCCACCATTTTTCCTGACAATAAACACAAGTGCATGCCAATTTTGAAGGTCATTAGGTGCAAACTAGTTTAGCTGAAAGGTATGGATGGGCTGGATTTGGACACCAGATACTGTCACAAAAAGCGAAACGGTAATGCAGCTTTTCCCATGTTAGTGACTACACCTAACAGCCAAAAAGATCAAGAATAAAGTTCTACTAAACTTCAAAAGCACTTGAGTAAAAGTCTACCTCAAGGAGTGAGGGTGCAGATTAGGTCAAAATAAAGAACAATCTCAGGCTTAGCAAACCTGTAGATTTATTTCAGTTGTCCGAAAATTCAGAGAGAACAAGGATTTAAGAGGGTCCACCCCAACCTCCTTTATGTCATCTTCTATCCACTATGCATTCCCCTGGTAGGAACCAAAATAATCATTACTACTGATGGGTTCAGATAATTGACTAATGCAACCAGTTCCATGAGAAATTGTGGCCAAAATTGACCTGACCAAGAGAGCTACTAAGTAAGTAGTTTCTCATGGTTCCTTCAGAGCAGCCTAATATAGTAAAGCCAAGACTGTGGAAGAGCAGAAGATAAACTCCAGCATGTATTCCCCTGACAGTCAGTAACAAGTTGGTCATTTGTTTTATATTTGCCTATCACCCAGACAGTATATCAATGGTCTGCTCACGCACTGATTGATGAGGATCAAAAAAACAAAGATGGTCAGATTCTTCCAGTACTGAAACATCCTTTGTAACCTTTTGATTCTGATTTTGAAGAAGAGTGAACTATTTTGTTACATGCTCATAGGCAACAGCACCCAAGCAGCCCTGAATTGCCCTGGAAATACAGTTAAGTTTTGTAAAGATCAATTTATGCACTGTGACCTCTTTTCTCAACCTAAATAGCTCAAGCAGATCAAATTACATTTTACAAATTTAAGAAGCAGGCCAGGCATAGTGGTTCACACCTGCAATTCCAGCACTTTGGGAGGCTGGGGTGGGAAAATCATTTGAGGCCAGGAGTTCAAGACCAGCCTGGGCAACATAATGAGACCCTATCTCTACAAAAAAAAAAAATTAAAAATTAGCTGGACAATTGCTTGAGCCTAGGAGCCCAGGAATTCAAGGTTACAGTGAGCTATGATTGGGCCACTGCACTCCAGTCTGAGCAACAGAGCGAAACCCTGTCTGAAAAAAAAAAAAAATGTAAGGGGCATATAACTCAAGAGCAAGAGTTGCTCTGTGTTTTACACCTGGTAGTATGACTGCATGTGTTACGAATATCTGTCATTTTTGCAATTTGTTTGCTCAAATTTCAGTTTGCCATAGCTTTCAATGTACTGTCAGAAATTCATGTAAAGTATAAAATTAGACCCACTTTGTCACGGACCAACCAATGCGTCCTGGGGTTGATACATGTCATCCTGATAATATATGTGTCAGAGACCTAGGGTACATTTCACTTCCTGGTGTTTTTGTCCTCACAGTCCCCCTACTGAATCTTGCAGATCACAAAAGACATCTTTCCCGTTTGGACGTACTCTTACCTGGTGCTGCTGCTCCCTGTGTTTGTCCTCACCGATTACGTCCGCTACAAGCCCGTCATTGTCTTACAAGGGATTAGCTTCATCATTACTTGGCTGCTGCTCTTGTTTGGCCAAGGAGTGATGTCCATGCAGGTTGTCGAGTTCTTCTACGGTATGGTCACCGCCACCGAGGTGGCCTACTATGCCTACATATATAGCGTGGTCAGCCCAGAGCACTATCAGAAAGTGAGCGGTTACTGTCGGAGCGTCACGCTGGTGGCCTACACGGCAGCCTCCGTGCTGGCCCAACTCTTGGTATCCCTGGCAAACCTGTCGTACTTTTACCTCAATGTCATATCCTTGGCCTCTGTCTCTGTGGCCTTCTTTTTCTCACTTTTTCTACCAATGCCTAAGAAGAGCATGTTTTTTCATGCAAAACCCAACAAAGAAGCTCCTCAAAAGCTACCAGGAGAGGATGCTGTCTTAGGGGAAACTCAAAAGGATCACAAAGAACTAGGAAACCAATTGAGCAGCCCAACACCAAGCAATGTGGTTTTGAGAGTTTTCGTGCAGTGGTTCCAAGATTTGAAGGAGTGCTACTCCTCAAAGCATCTTTTCTACTGGTCCCTGTGGTGGGCTTTTTCCACAGCAGGTTTCAACCAGGTTTTAAATTATGTTCAAATCCTGTGGGATTACAAGGCACCATCCCAAAGTTCTACAATATATAATGGAGCAGTAGAAGCCCTGGCAACCTTTGGGGGTAAGTACACAAGGCTTTATCTTATCGATATGTAGAAAATGTGCTGCTCTAGGTAGCTCAGATACTCCGTGGCAGAAAATTAGAACTGTTTGAAAGTAACCCGAATCAATGAATTCAGGTGCTATAGAACCCTGAAAAAAGTAAGAAAGTAAGAGGAACTGGTATTATAAGACCTAAGCTAGGAAAAGTATACAACACCTATTTATTAATACTGTGATATTTTCACTGTTCATAAAAAAGAGGCCAGGTAAATAAATGGGTTCAAGTTTTTAATCCATGTTCTATCACTCGCCAAGTAGGCAAATCAATTAAAACTCTAACAATCCAGTTTCTCTTCTCCTAAAAAGCCAGAACGATACATACTAGCTTATTTCACGATATACCTTTTAAGATCAAAAGGGATCATGCATCCAGAAGTATTTGTATACTGTAGTATCTTAGGTAAAAACCAATTTTTTTTTATTTAGTTTTCTTGAACACAAAATATATCAATACAGTTTCCCAACTGTATTCTTAGGTAACCCTGTTGTAGTGATTTCAACATTAAACACTAAAGAGTTTGAAAAAGAAGAGTTTTGTCACAAAATTTAAAGTAGGCAACTAATATAATAAAAGGCTGATAAAGGTATACATAGAAGGGAAGGTTTCACCCATCCCTAAAAACAGGGGCAACAAGTTGATGTCCTCATGGCCAAATATGGTTTGGCCATGGAGAGTTAGATGATTTAAGGTTAAACCATCAAAACTCTTTCATTTCTCTAATCTTCCAACTCTAGTCTTTAAACGGTGGTTCGCAGACCATTAATACAAGGTGGGGAAACTATGAGCATGGGCTACCACTGCTAATAATTTTACATTTTTAAGGGGTTTAGAAAAAAAAAAGGGAAAAAAAGTGGAAAAAAAAAAAAAAAAAAAGAAGGATATGAGACTCACAGTCTAAAATATATACTATCTATTTATAGATTGCAGATCTTGAACTCAATTTAGTGGGTTGCTGGCCAGCATTTCAAAATCAAAGAATAGAATAGAATAGAGTTGGGAGCATATCAGCTTTTATCATTTGGTTTTGCAAAAATTCTGTTCACAAACATATATGTGCTGGTCGATATATAAAATATATTTTTTTCTTAGGCATTCATTGGTCAAAGAAATTTGAAAGCTACTGCTCTTACCTTATCATTTCAAAGGTTCCCAATCAAGACAAATAATACGTTTGCATCTTTCCTTAACCCTACATATGGAAATTGCCAAGACTTGTTACCTTCTGCTTTAAGCCTGTTCTCTACACTCAGCTTCCCCATTCCCCACCAAACCCAAGTATCTTCTAGAACAATAATTAACTCCAGAATAAACTCTATAACCTCTCATTCTATCTCCTCTCCAGAACCAAGTTATTGTACTAGCCTGCGTAATTTTCTGCCTGGCCTTTCATGCATATTACATTTTTATTCCATTGTCATTGGTAATAAGCAGGGACACAGTACCCCTTCACAAGTAGGAATCCTTGATTATGGTGATAATGACAGCAGAAGGCAAAGATCCCTGCAGGAAAGGCAAGGTGTGAGCTGGTGGGCCAGGCAGGCCCTCTTGGTGGGTGTGTGTGCACCTGAGTGTTCACTGCTTTCCCTTGAGTTGGCTCGTAAGTGTCTGCTGCACCCTTATTTAAGGATGGGTTTCTGACATTGCATTTTACTTGACAGGAAAAAGGCAGGCTGAGCGACCTAGAGGAGCCTTGAGAAGGTCCCTGGGGGACTGAGGGTTTCCAGCTCCCACTACTGGATTCACCCTTAAAGCCCCCCCGAGGGCCTTTTGCTTGGGTAAAATTTCCTTCTTGGCTAAAAAACTACAATAATTTGGGGGTTTTAGATACTCTTTCTCTTTCCCAAAATATAATATATTTTGCAAAATTTGAAACACTTTTCCAAAAGGCGTGAGGTGCAAGGAGAGAGCGAGCAGTGGGCTGATGCAGGTGTCAGTACTCCAACATAAGAAGGGCAGAGCCCAGAGCTGTCTTTGAAGTGAGCCCAACAATGCACATTTACTTTCCCAACAGAGCAAAGCTTTCACATCAAATGAGACTTTGAAGATATTTATTTTAAAGTTGGGTTGTTCCACACCCACCTATTTATTGAACATTTCAGGGCCCATTGTTGGGCTCGTATTCTTCTCGTTTCCCTTTCTGAAAATTCCAAACACTTGGTCAATTAGGTCAGAGCTTGGATCAGCGTTTCTCATCCTCAGCCCCTTGACACTGAGGCCTGGGCAATTCTTTATCGTTGGGGGTTGCCCTGCACTTTGTAAGATGCTCTGCAACATTATCTACCTCTAACCCACTAGAAGCCAGGATGCCCCCAGTCGTTGACAACCAAAAATGTCTTCAGATATTGTCACCTGTCCCTTAGAAGGGAGGACCACTAGAGAACCACTAGATTAGGGTTAGGGTTAGATTTGGGTTAGGATGAGAACTCTTTTATAATCCTTATCACACTGTATTAAAACTGTAAATTTATTTCTCTAATTTCCCCACTAGACTGTACTGTTTTCAAAGCAAGGACACAAAATTTGCTACTCACAGAGAAGCTCAAAAATGCTTGCTAGGTGAATAAATGAATGAATGAATGAATGAACAAATAAAGGAGAGAATGATCAAACATACAAATGGGGAAGAAATAGGCAGAGAGAATTCTTGAAAAGAAGTTCGGTATCTATCAGGCATCTTGAGAAAAATTTTTTCAAATGATATCACAGAGAGGAAAGAAAACAGAGACCAGGGCAAATAGAGAGAAGCCATCCTTGCTAGAGCGCCAGTAACAGGGCACTAGAAAGGATGTGGTGGAAGAGAAGGCACCCCAGATTAGGAAACTCGCGGCTACAGCCCTTGCTCAACTCCAGTGACCAAACATTCACAGCTTCCCATTTTTCACTCTCTGTTTTATCTTGATCAGACTCTACTTAGGCTCCTCTCTTTCCTACAGGCCCTAAGCACTGAGCAAGCACACACAAAAAAATGTGGAATGTGCCCCCCTTATCAGCTCCTCCTGGGAATGGGCTGACCACAGTGGGACACTTCCCTATCAAACCCCACTGACTGTTTCCCCTCGCTGGTCAGGCTTCCTCTGCAAAGATGCTGCTTATCTCTGCCTGCCCCTCCTTTGCCCTACGAAAGAAAACCCCCTTTCTGTTTGATTTTGAAACACTTGCAGATTTCTGCAGTCAGAGCATTCTTTCTATTGCAATAGTCTTTCCTCTAAATAAAGCCTCCCCTATCTGAGTCCGGATTTGTTTTTATTTCACACTAGGTTTCTAAGCCTGAGTTTTATCATCTGCAAAGGGAAGAGTAAAGAAAAAATGGCCTCCATGGGTCCTTTCCAGTCTGTGATTTATGCAAACCCAAACTCAGTTGGTCTATTTCAAACTTTAAGAAAAAAAGATATGTATAGTTCACAGAGCTGAATCAAGTGATTTTTCATTCAAAGTTCACAGTCAGCATTTTTTATCATAGCCTGGAAATGCTTCAGTGCTTCCGTAATGTGGATTTTAACACAACTGCATGCTACCTTACTATACGTGGATTAACAAGATGTAATATACGTTACTTCCTTTATTCTCAGGGGCCATAGCAGCCTTCACAGTGGGCTACGTGAAAGTCAACTGGGATCTTCTGGGAGAGCTGGCCTTGGGAATCTTCTCAGCAGCAGATGCGGGTTCTCTATTTCTCATGCATTTCACAACTAATATTTGGGTGTGCTATGCCAGTCTTTTGATATTCAAGTCAAGTTATATGCTCCTTATAACCATAGCAGCATAAGTATTTACCATTTCTTTCAATTATCTAAACCTGAAGCAACAAAACATGTTTATTTATTCTTCCAGTTCCTCTGAATAGCATTTTGCAATGTTATAGTTAATGCTTCCTACAAGAGACAATGGAACTATATTCCTATTTTAATCAGGTTTCTCTTGGGACTTGATTAAGATTACTAATCGGGGGGTGGAGGGAATTGAAGTTCTCACAATTAATAAGCAATGGTGTATCTTTAGGTTTGATTTTGTCTTACTTAACAAAGTAATATAAGACGTGATTCTAGGCCGGGTGTGGTGGCTCACGCTTGTAATCCTAGCACTCTGGGAGGCCGAGGCGGGTGGATCGCTCAAGGTCAGGAGTTCGAGACCAGCCTGAGCAAGAGCGAGACCCCGTCTCTACTAAAAATAGAAATAAATTATTTGGACAACTAAAAATCTATATAGAAAAAATTAGCCAGGCATGGTGGCGCATGTCTGTAGTCCCAGCTACTCGGGAGGCTGAGGCAGTAGGATTGCTTGAGCCCAGGAGTGTGAGGTTGCTGTGAGCTAGGCTGACGCCACGGCACTCACTCGAGCCAGGGCAACAGAGTGAGACTCTGTCTCAAAAAAAAAAAAAAAAAAAGATGTGATTCTATCTAATTTTGACTAAGTTTAGCTTTCACTCCCAATTTTCCTTGCCTGCTTAGTAGTCAAAGCATATCTACTTCTTCCTGAAACAATTTATCAAATATTTTCAGGGGTGTTATAGAATTGAAGCAGCTCAATGAAACCACATATAAAATCATATAGTAGTATAAAAATATAACATATTTGATCTAGATTAATTAAAAAATAAAGAAAATAAGCTAAGGAGGTGGTGAATGTTGCTTGGAGAACACGTGAAGGGATAAGGTTGTTGCTTCTCATTTCCTGTGTGACAATGTGCTCCATTTTATTTAGCAAGTTAATCAGAGATAAACATCCGAAAATATTTTCCTTGACCTAACGTTACTGGCAGCAGCATCTTTGACATGCTATTTGGCTTTAAAGTTTTCCAGTCTGTTTGTCTATAAAATGTAGGTGAGATGCATCTCTTTTAAAGGAATATTAATAAGAATGACATCTGAATTTTCATCAAAAATAACAGAAGCCGGAAAACAATGAAAGAACATTTTTAAAGTGCTGAAAGTAAAGAACTGCTAACTTAGAATTTTATACTCGGCAAAAATATTCTCCAAAAAATAAGGCAAAATAAAGACATTTATAAAACAAACAAAAATGAAGCAAGATTATTGTGGCTCACATTGAAAGACACATAAAAAGAGTTCTTCAGGCAGAAGGAAATGATCAACATTGGAATTGCAATAATGCAGGAATAATAAAAAACACTGTAAGAGTAAAGTATGAGTAAAGTATGAGTAAGAGTAAAGAGTAAATATGTGAGTAAATTTAAGTAAATCTTGATTTTCAAAATGATAGTAATAATGCTTCTAGTTTTTAAAATATATGTAGAATTAAAATTTATGATGGTAACAACACAAAAGGAAGGAGGAGTAATAGATTTAAAGTATTGCAAAAGCCTTATATTGTCAAAGAAGTGGTGAAAATACTAATTTGGAATAGACTCTATTAGATCAAAAATGCATGCTATAATCTCTATGGTAACCACAAAGAGAATAATAAAATAAGATATTACTAACAAGCTAATAAAGGAAGGAAAGTACTTTTACACTTAATTAAAGGAACAAAAGGCAGGAAACAGAACAAGAAACATAGATTAAACAGGACAAATGGAAAGCCCTGAGTGAGATAGTAAGTTTAAAACCAAATATCCAAATGTCAGTAAAATCATTAAAATATGCCTGAACTAAATTACTCCAATTTTAAGACTAAAAGTTAGCCAAATGGATTTTAAAAATCAAAGCTTAATTATGTCACCTTGAAGACACACTTCTTGAAAAGAAGGGCTCCAAAAGGTTGAAAGTTAAAGAATGGGAAAAGATACACTATGCAAATACTAACAAAAGGAAAGCTAGTTTAGTTATCCTAATATCAGATGAAATAATAACAACAGAGTGATGTTTTCATTACGGTAAATTTTATAGTCATTTTATAATGAAAAAAGTGTTAACAACTAGATGAATAAAACAATTCTAAATTTGTAGGCAGTGAATAACATAGCCTCAAAATATATTAAGCAAAACTTGACAAAACTAAAATGAGAAATAATCAAGTCCACACTCATAGTTGCAAATATGAACACACCTCTCTCAATAACAAGCACATAAAAAGTATTAACAAGGATTAGGAAGA